CATATCTATGCTAACACGTTATACATTGTTAGGAAATAAACTTGAAGTTTTAGAGTCGTTATTACAGACAAAGCTTTGACAACAAATTTACTTAAATCTCACTCTCAATATTTTGTCTTGTACAAAACTTATATCATGTATATAATTCAGCTTAAATCTTATAAACATAAAAAAGAAAAGACTAAGAACAAAGGCTTGGACAAAAATGTAACCTAATCAGTGCAAACAACTTTTCAAAGCTTCATATTTCTTTCTTCTCCGTTCCAATATCCAAAGAAATATGACGCTCTTTAAATTATAGCTACCAAGCCCCTCGTAGCTTATCGTTTATTTTTTTATTTTTAAAGTATTTTTATAAATATGCCTTTTTAGATAATGTGTCTCTTTATTGGGATATTTAATCTTATCTCTTCATTGTAAACGTACCCCTACAACCCTTTGTTAACCCCCCCCCTGTTGTTAAAATATAACTACCAATAGTAGTAACAAATGTATAATAAAGACCTAAAATTAACATTAATTTACTTTGAGAAATGCATACGTTTCTAAAAACCAACTCTGCAAAAGGTGCATTTTCTATCGATACTACATGACAAAATACGAAATAGCTACAGAACTAAGGAGTATATTAGTAGTGTTAATGGCTTACAACAAGAGCTGACCTCCATCACTTTAATACTTTTTATTCCTTGAATATTTACTTTTTTATACTTTCTTGTGAAATGGTGACCAAACGAATGTAGGTATTTGAAGCCAAGTATGAATGGAGATGAGTGTAGGATGAGTGGTGCGATATTTTAGTCTTGTTAGTGGCTAAGGCCGACATGTTCCTTAGACACAGCTGTTAATTAATCGTCCATACAGCCAATCGAACCTAAGTGACCTACAGTTTATAGTGTAATCCCAACCACATTTTTGCCTTGTAATTAACAAGTTAGAACAGTGAAAAATACATCTCATAACAGTCCAGTTGATGGTTGATTACGATTAATTAACTTAGAAAATAGAAAACGAGTGTTTTACTCTCAAGACTCACAGTCTATTGTTCATACAATGTCTCAGATGTTAAACTAAGTCGTGAAAAGTGAATTAGTTTTAATTTAAAAATAGTTAAAATGGATAACAACATTAATAAAGAAAATATTTAACCAAATTTACTAAGAAGTTTTTGTCAATATAATTATTTTTCTAAGATCGAAAAATATACACTTATTCGTCATGTAATTGAAATAAGTTTATACTTTACAGAACCGGGTTAGAGCCATTTGATAGGTCATAAGTTTGGGAAATACCACATTAAAATAATCTCATTACTTGAATACTTTTTGGACGTAATTAGTTTTTACTTTGTATGACTTGTACGGTTAGCATGTAAGTTTTAAGCGTGTATTAGGAAAGACTGATGGTGCGCGAAGCTTTAAGGAATTAAACTATACGAAATTATATTATTTACCAAAAGTCTATCTCTCCAAGATGATTTGGGTGCAACTTAAACAAAATTTAAAACTATCTGATATACCTGTGCTCCTCACGACTTTTTTGGGCAGGCCCAAAAAATAAATTTATATTTATAAAAATTTATATTTATGACTTTTTAAATATAAATATTTAACTTTTACACCAGTTTACTTCATACAATAGACTATACAATTTAGTATTTTTTAGATTATACAACATTTCTATGGAAATATTAATTATTTTGAATGATAGATTGAAAAAGAAAAACATTGGACCATGCAAGTTTTGGGATTTTGATGCAAGACATCTTAATTAATTTGTCAATAAATTTGGTCCAAATCTTATGGTGAGGCATCAATTCAGTTTGTGACAGTGAAAGATTCACTAAAGTAAACTACTAACAGACCCATTGATGATTATGGATTTTAGGTTTTCAAAAGAAAGATCTTTGAACTACTATGAACTTTTATGGATTTATGCAAGTTAATCTTACTTTGCATGTCACGTAAAGCGTTTTCCTAATAGGAATTCAACAATGATATACCATCAACAATGCATTGATCAACTGTGGTATATACGAGTACATTATATGCATTTGATTACTTCTTTTCACACAAAAATGCTCCTATCACATGTTACAGTTGGCGTCCTTAATATCGTACAGTATTATAAATACTCGCCTTTGGCTCGCTGGGGGCTCCGCCCCCAGGTCCCCTTTTTTGGTTGGGGGTAGTGGGAATGTTCCTCGGGGGACATGATTTTGTCTGATAATGTTTTCTGCGTCTAAATATTATGATAACTATGCGGTTGCTAGGTAATTCATAAAGGGTATATGATTAGGAGATGATTAAACAAGTCCTGACATATTAGAGTCTCGATGTGTGTTTGGTGCTCCAAAACCTTCTAAGGTATTTACGGTATACCTAGATTTAGCGATAATAATATAGCAATAACGTTACAATCCAAGGGGTTTGAGGAGGTAACAATATTTATAGAAAGTCTTAGGCCCCCTTCGGTGGCCGGGGGGGGGGGGTTAAAATCATCAGTAATAAGAATGGGCCCCCATTTGTACACTTCGGGGGCTGACCTCACTTCTGCAAAAATCTTTAACATTTTCTATTTCTTTAACATTTTAACATACATTTTATAAAGGGGGATGATTGAGGGGGGGATTAAGATGGGATTGGTCACTATCTAGCTTTTTCTGTTGTTAAACATCCATAATTTACCTACTTACTTTTAAGTCTAGTTTGCGTGTCAAAGCATACTAATTCTACATTACAAATGTGTTAAGAGCGTTAAAAACTACCCTTTTTACTGAAAAACCGGCACTTTTATTTTTTGAGTAGGTTAAAAAATGTAATAGGTCACCTTAGGCACCTTTCTTTCAACGTTGGAAGTATAAAATGTACCAATTATTTACGAAAGGTAGTTACAAAATTTTAAAAACACGTAATAAATATAGAATTTTCACAATCTTTTAAAGTAGGGCGTTTTTTGAAGGTGAAAATGTGCAATTTCTGAAAAAATCATAATAGTGTCTTGTTAAAAATTTAATTCCAGGTTCACGATTTTCCGTCAAATCCTTTCTAGCTCTTACCATTTTCGAACTACAGAAATTTAAAAAACGTGTCTCCGCCAAAAAAATGGGGATTTAAGGGAATTTTTTTGGTGGGTTGCAGTCGGAAAAACTAAATTTTGGGAATTTCTGGGTGGTTTCGTATCCAGACGAATCTTCACAAAAAATTTGAGATCTCTAGCTAACCTAGAAGTGACAAAAATGCGTTTTCTGTTGCCAAACGCCCATAATTCACCTACTGACGTTTACGACTAGTTCGCCTGTCAAAGCATGCTAATTCTCCATGATAAAATGTGTTAAAAATTATATTTTTTAATGAAAATCCACCATTTTTAATTTTTCTTGTTTAAATTAAAATTATGGAAGGTCACTTTAGGGACTTTCCTTTCAACGTTGGGGGCATAAAAAGTAGAAATATACGTACGAAAAGTTGTTTTAAAAATTAAAAACACGTAAAAAAATCGAGGATTTTTACAATTTTTGGAAGTAGAGCTTTTTTTGAAGGTGAAGGAGTGCGAATTCCGATGTAACGCCTTCTCGGGCGAAACTGTCTTGTAGAAAATTTAATTACGAACCTACGTTTTTTCCTCAAATAGATTCTAGCTCTTACGGTTTTCGAGCCACAGCTGTTTAAAATAAGCGTATTTTTCCAAAAAATGGGTTTTTTAATAGAAATTTTTGGGGTGGTTAATTTTGAAAATGGGGTTTTTACAAATTTTTTCCGGTAATGTAAGATCCCGTACTACAAAACTACAAAATTTTAAGTCTCTAGCACGTTTCTTAACGGTTCACATGAGCGTACGAATGTCTGTTTTTTCAATTTAATTTCCCATAAGATTAACATGGGGGGGGGAATTGTTAATTTAAGGGGGGTTGAAAGGGAAAAAGGCGACTTTTCGGAATTTTCCCGGGCGTTCGGGCCCAAGACCCATATGCGTGCCAAATTTCAACTCCCTGGAACGTCTAGAAGTGCCCAATTATATGCCTGTCTAAACATGCTAATTCTCCATAAGAAAATGCGTTAAAAATTATCTTTTTGATAGAAAATCCACCATTTTTAATTTTTTTCCGTAGGTTAAAATTATAGAAGGTCACTTTGGGGACTTTCCTCTCAATTTTGGGAGCATAAAAAGTGGAAATATATACGAAAAAGCGTCTAAAAAATTAAAAACACGTAAAAAAATCTGGGATTTTCACAATTTTTGGAATTAAAGCGTTTTTTGAAGGTGAAGGAGTGCGAATTTAGATATAACGCCTTCTTTGACAAAGTTGTCTTGTAGAAAATTTAATTGCGAACCTACGATTTTCCCTCAAATCGATTCTAGCTCTTACGGTTTTCGAGCTACAGCCGTTTTAAAAAAACATGTGTTTCCAAAACCCGAAATTTTTATGGAATTTTTTTGGGGAGGTAGAATTTTGAAAATGGGGTTTTTACGAATTTCACCAGTAATGTAAGATCCCATAGTACAATAATACGCAAATTCCAAGTCTCTAGCACGTTTCTAAACGGTTCAGATGAGCTTACCAAATTTGGTGTTTTTCAACGATATTTCCCATAAGAATAACATGGGGGGAAATTGTTAGTTTAGGGGGGGTTGAAAGGGGAAAATGCAACTTTTCGGATTTTTTCCAGGGATTTGGGCACTAGACCTACAAAACACCGAAAATTTCACGTCTCTAGCTCATCTAGAAGTGCCCAAATATAGAGATGCGTGTCGTGTTTTTAATGTTTCGATGTTTTGTAATTTTTTGTGTGAACTGTGACGACCTTCTCAAGAAGCGACAATTTTCTTGTGAAGCGGTTCCGGTGTTAAACCAAAACTAACCATTTGGAATGCATAAAATACTTAAACCACTTATATTGTAATAAAAATATGTTGCGTAGCAACAGTTCACTTTTAATTTAATCTTCATAGAAAAGGCGTATCAAAATTAGCTGCGAGAAAATTCAAATTTTGACATAATGTTGAGAGCGTGTAGGTGTAATCAAAATGTAGGTCCTGTCGTGACAGCGGTGATGTTCCTCGATAAGAAGAAAGGAGTTAGCGTCTCAGATGTCGCTGACTTTCTACGTCACAACTACGGCATCAAAACTCTCCCGGACTATAAGAAGTCTTTGAAACTAGCAGTAGAAAAGGGATTCTTGACTGTCAGACAAAACCGCTTCTACCCTGCACTGAACACAATCTTGGAGGCACGTCGGAGACGCAAACGATCACTAAAGCGTCGAAGAGCTAGACGTCATGACGACAATGATGAGGTAGTCGCAGCCCGCGGTCGCAGACAACAAAGATATCGGTACAAAAGGAGAAGCCGTCGACAAACGGGACGGCAACGTGAAGCAGACAGTGAACTGATAGAGGCTCGACGCAGGAGAAGGTCTATTAGCAAAAGACTCAGGAGACATAGCATTATCCAGGCTCGAAGAAGACGTAGGTCTATAAGACGTCGCATTGTTGACTCCGACGACCACACTATGGCTCGTCGTCGCCGTAAGAGATCTACAAGACACGCTAGGAGGCGAGATGACTCCGACGATCTCACTATGGCTCGTCGTCGCCGTAAGAGATCTACAAGACACGCTAGGAGGAGAGATGACCTAGATGATCTCACCATGGCTCGTCGAAGACGCAGGTCTCGTAGAAGCACGCGCAGACGTCGAGGTCGCAAACACGAAGAATTATCTTCTCCTCAAGCTTAAGCTGGGGAGTCTCCCAACAATCCTCCAGAGCCGGTGGATCAGGCGTGACAATAATTATATTTTGTCTAATTTCCTTCCTGTCATGTCCCATCGAATAAATTATCATCCTCTATGCTTCTAATAGTTGTTTATTTAGACATAATGTTATAGTTTAAAGAATTAAAAAAAAACATGGTGTAGAAAGATTTAGTTGTGGCTTAATAGCAGTGATCATAATACCTTGCCTTCGTTTATGAGGATTATTGTGTTACATGGTCCTGAATGTGTTAACCAATCTCCTGCAGAATGTATTACCATATAATGCATTTGGGAAGAGGATAATTAAGGAAAATATTTAAACTAAAAACAGTTGCAATCTTAAAAATAATAAAAGAAACCCCAGATGCGTAGTTTATAGAAAGTAAACTACAACTACGAACAGTCTTAATCCTCCCTATTTACCTTACTGAGATATCAATTACTAAATTAAAAATACTGAAATATAAATCAAGGAAAGAAGATATGATCCTTGAATTGTTAATTTAAGGGGGTTTTGAAAGGGAAAAAGGCGACTTTTCGGAATTTTCCCGGGCGTTCGGGCCCAAGACCCATATGCGTGCCAAATTTCAACTCCCTGGAACGTCTAGAAGTGCCCAATTATATGCCTGTCTAAACATGCTAATTCTCCATAAGAAAATGCGTTAAAAATTATCTTTTTGATATAAAATTCACCATTTTTAATTTTTTCCGTAGGTTAAAATTATAGAAGGTCACTTTGGGGACTTTGGGGACTTTCCTCTCAATGTTGGGAGCATAAAAAGTGGAAATATATATACGAAAAATCGTCTTAAAAATTCAAAACACGTAAAAAAATCTGGGATTTTTACAATTTTTGGAATTAAAGCATTTTTTGAAGGTGAAGGAGTGCGAATTTCGATATAACGCCTTCCTTTGAAAAAACTGTCTTGTAGAAAATTTAATTGCGAACCTACGATTTTCCCTAAAATCGATTCTAGCTCTTACGGTTTTTGAGCTACAGTCGTTTTAAAAAAACATGTTTTTCCAAAAACCGAAATTTTTATGGAATTTTTTGGGGAGGTAGAATTTTGAACATGGGGTTTTTACGAATTTCACCAGTAATGTAAGTAATGTAATGTCGTAGTTATTTTATATACTGACTGTGCGTTGGTCTAAGTTCCTTCTTTTTAGTATCAGTTGTGCGAATTTCGATATAACGCCTTCCTTTGAAAAAACTGTCTTGTAGAAAATTTAATTGCGAACCTACGATTTTCCCTAAAATCGATTCTAGCTCTTACGGTTTTTGAGCTACAGTCGTTTTAAAAAAACATGTTTTTCCAAAAACCGAAATTTTTATGGAATTTTTTGGGGAGGTAGAATTTTGAACATGGGGTTTTTACGAATTTCACCAGTAATGTAAGTAATGTAATGTCGTAGTTATTTTATATACTGACTGTGCGTTGGTCTAAGTTCCTTCTTTTTAGTATCAGTTTGCACACAATTTTCTAGTATGATAAAAATCTTATCTGGAAGGCTGGGATTTACTAAGAAAGCTCGTGCAATTAGATAAGTTGAAAAAGCATACGTTGCACAGTGTGAGGATGGTTAAAATGATCTTCCGAATGAATTTTACGTAAATTCAATAGTAAATAGCATAAAATATTTTAATTTATTAAAATGCAATGTACGTATTTTATTAGGACTACAAACCTTTAATACATGTTGATTTTACTGAGTTGTTGTTTGCTCTTAATTCCAAATCACACACATACATGGACACTATAATTAATTATTTCCAATTCAATTAATAAAACCGCACCTCCAGGGTTAAACCACGAACTGTAACTTTGGTTAAGAGGCTTGAATGATATTTAGCTCTAAAACAGAATTTTAATTTATACAAAGGAAGTTTCTGACATGGTTCTGACAGATTTCACCAGGAACAGTGGTAGATTCATGCTAAAGCTTTCATCAGACCGTTTGGTAATTATTAATTCTACAAGGGCTACAAAGAAATTAACTTTAATACCATAATTATATTATCAATTATGATAAGTGGCTTAATATGTAGCTCTAAGCACATGCATGATTTCCCTTTGACGACCCTTCTTAACAGCCTATAATATCTATTATTTTTTTACCAAATTGGTTAAGAAATTATTTTTACGCCGCACTACATTATTTTGACGAACTTCCGACGCAAGGATTTAGTCCAGAAAACAGCTGTTTGCCGCCAGCTTATTCAAATGGGGTTTCATTGCGTACTACTGTGCTGCAATGAGTTTTGCCGGACACCAATCAGCTGATTATACTGTATTTAGGTGGCTGTGAGTGGTTATAAACAAAAACATAACCTCTCTTAGAGGTTTTGACTTTGGTGATTTATAGTCATTTAGTTGGTGGAAATATATAAGGATTTGTACGGATTTAGTAGTATGGCGTAAACTATCGTACGTTACTCGTCCAAAATGTGTGTACCGGACTCGTATGGTAATCCCGTACTCGACTTCGTCTCGCACGGGAACGACCACACTCGTCCGGTAAACACTTATTTTCAGGACTAGTAACGTAATATACTATTTCCTACAGTCACCCAAAAAAGTTGGCTTCCTTGTACTGTTTATAGTACAGAAAGCTGCTAATTGCTGCAAATTTATACTTTGCCGTACGGTTTATACTTTGCCGCACATCAGGATTCCAACGAAACAACACAAAACAGCGTGGTTCTATTATGCACGTAATCCGTGTACGCTTGGAAATAGGTTGGCAACACTTAAAGATAATAATACTATGAGCAGCTGATTGACTATTATAACTACGATTTAACCTGTCATTTCGTGTTTATAGTTTCGGTATTTCTGAACTTTCTGGACTTTTCTTTTAAAGGTTTTTAAACATTCCTACGATCTTAATAAACAAGAAAATACCTTTAAAGCGTTTTTTTTAGGCGCGGAAACCACTTAAATTACAAAAAAACATACGGAACTATATTCTCAAAACGCGGGGCACATTTCTTCCCTAGAAAAAATAGCGGAGTGATACGGACCGCGGGTACTACTTTCTCTAGGGCACCATTTGTGTTGCCAGCTGAACCTAAAAACGTGTTGTATAGTGTTTCAAAGACTAATTATTTACATGCTTTATAGTGACTGTAGGAAAAATATAATGTGTAACACGAGTGAAAAAGGCCTTTGCTGCACTCGAGATCATTCCGCACTCGCCTGCGGCTCATGCGTAAACATTGCTCTCGTGTGCAGCAAAGTGCCACTTTCACCACTAGTTACACAAATAACTATTTAAACACAATGTAACAAAGCCTTTTCCGTTTAGTTTTTAATAAAAAAAGTCAGAGGAGTGAATTTTTATCTAATATAATAGTCTACTGAAGCAAGTTGGACATTGTTACTATGCATGGTACAGTATAGAAAAGTTAATTTATGGATAACACTGTATGGTATGAAATTAAAGTAAGATTAGTTCTACATAAATAAAGATATTATCACTAACTGCATTTAAAAAATATCCATCGAATAACAGAAAGCTTCGTGGTAATGGTAATGATCAATTATTTCTTCTGGGGGATTAAAATTAGCTCGTTTTTGTATGGTGAGTAATGATTAAAAATTTGTTTTACTAGACTTTCAGGAACCTTTGTTGCTTTATAAGTTATAAGATAAAAAGAGAAAACACTCAACCTGAAACTAACCGCTTAACATTTAATTTCTAACCACTACTTCAATTTGGAGATGGACATTTAGGTGGTGCATACTAGATATAGGTCGATGTTTGGTTAAACGTTTGCTTGGAAATGTTGGACTAGTGATTATATAAAAATAAATCTTAATAATTATGAAAAAACTGTTTCAATTAGTAGAATGAGTAGAAGGTTCTTAAGTTCAACCTAAACTCTGAGTAAATCAAAAATAGTTTTCTAGGTTTCAAAAGGACAAGGGTCGTTGACATGATTTACAACATTCCTATATAATTCTAGAACCTGAGTTATTCAACCATATAAAATGACTTTACTTATAATAAAAAAATCCAAATATTGTTGATCTTTTGTATGTATATATTTGACCCATCAAAATGATTTTTCCTTCTCTACGTATACGGACTAATATCAATATGTGAATTTATTTCTCAAAACATCAGTTTATTCAATATAAAGTATCACATGAGTATTGTTTTTAAATTAAACAGCACTTTTAAGCAAACAAACTTCTGGTTTATAATTTTAATGATATGTATTTCTGATATTGGTAAAGTTTGATAACTAATACAATTTTGAAAAGAGTCGAAAAAGGGCAAAGCAAGTATAACCGTTAGGTTTTACACATTTATTTTACCATGAAATTGATAATTATAATAATAATACATTTGATTTACGAACTCAGCATTTTAACTGAAAACAACAATTATACTATTGCCAAGAAGGTACCCATGAACAGTAGCTAGGATACAAGAGTAATAAAAGAGAGATGGAAACGGCAAATGATTGTTAGCTTTGATAGACTAAGTTAATTGCTTTCTTTTATCAGAGCAAGATTGAACAGTGTTTGTTTTCTTTTCTGCTCTTTTCCATTTAACCTCATTCGTTTTACAACTACACTTTATAACAATGAATTTTCCAACTCGTTGAAAATCTTTCTTTACTGCCTACGAATATTGGTTTGCATAACTGTAGAAATTGTGTAATAAATTAAATTATAGAAAATATTTACTTTCGTATAAAATTTAGAGCCACATGGACAACCGTTTAGCATACTATTCTACTGCATAAGTAAAATTTCAATTGATCAATCTATAAAGATTAAGTCACTGTGTATAGTTACAATATAGTTCAAGTCTCATAAAGATCTACCCTAAAGCTAAGCGAATTTAAAACCAAGAATATTGTTCTACCACATAAATTCTATGATTGCTTTTTTATTTATTTTTGGTACATTATTGTATTCCGTGTCATGGTACAATTTTCTTACAGAAAAACAAGGGAAACAAAAGAT